GCCACTGCCGTGCAACGGCGCCGTTCTGCTGCTGGCCCAGCCGAAGCCCAGGCCCGGGCCAACCTTGCCTCCATCGCCGACTCCCTCAACCGGCTTCACTTCAAAGTTGACGGGATGGATGGCTACCTTGAGCGGCTCGACGAGGCTGTTCAACGCCAAGGGCACGCCATGAACGCATACTTCCAACGCGTTAACTACGTCCCCCCACCGTACCATGGCACGTTCTTTGGGCAAGTGTACGGTGACGAGGACGAAGAGGATGGCTCCTACGCCCCGTCAAGCTCCCCGGACGAGGACGAGTTCGACGACACCGTTGACTGTGATGAGATGGACGTCGACAACGACGAGGAGGAAACCGAAGACGAAGACTAGGCCGCCCCTAGAATTTCTATCTCTTTTGTTTTAATTATCCTGTCTCTTAATGCTTCCGTTGTACTCCGCTATTTCCCATCTTCAATAAATAAAAATAATCTTTTATCTTTTTGTTAATGTCAAAAGGGGGAAGAAAAGGGCTATGCATATACTAAGGGGGAACGTCTCTATAAACGAGACCGTTTGATTTTAATCCAACTAATTTTTTTTAAAAGCACAAATTAAGGGGGAACCTTTTTTCACAACTTTTGAAAAACAAATATCCCTTAGTATGCATATCCCCGTCTTGTTTGCAATTATCAAAAAGGGGGAAATTGTTGGAACACGGGTTTACGCCTTACGTCGTACTAAACTGTGTTCGGTTTTTATGACAGGTTTTGATAATGCCAAACCACCGCAACATATCGAAGCTAAAGTGAGCAAAACTAAGGCGAAGGAACATGGCATGATGACTTGAGAACCAAGAACCCAGAATCAAGAACGAAGAACTAAAATCGTATTGAGTCGGTCTTAATGCGATCAAGACCGACACAAAATTCCAAATCTTGGCTCTCTAGGCTCAATTCATAAAAATCTCTTTTACGTGTTCAAAACTATTTTTTCTTAAGTTTAAACTTGGGTCAAAACACTTGGAGTTCGCCCAAGCCAAAAACCAAGCCATCCGGCGTTCGGCTTTCAGAAACCGGCATTCGGCCTTCGGTTTTCGGCATTGGTTTTTGGTGTTCGAACCAACCAAGTGGTTTTCAACTTTTTATGACTGGTTTTTATCTCTGGGCATATTTAATTAGCTCTCCAACAAAAACGCCTCAAAAACCACTCTCCGTTTTTTGTCGTTTAGTAAAACCATGCGAAACGGCACGAACTTGGTTAGCCGTGGTTTTCAACTAAATGACGTGGTTTTCAAGATGTTTTACTTGTTCTCTTAGCAAAATGCAATAAACAAATGTTTTCTAAACTTGGTTTTTATTTTGGAGAACTTGCATTTTTGACATCGGCTAACGGCGTGACTAAACCAACCATGGGTCTGGCTAAACCAGCCCAAC